GATCAGCAAGCGCTCTTTACTGCTGAGTTGTCTCTCAGGCCCTAAATCTTTGATTTTATGAGGAGTTTGATCTGTGTCTTATCTCTTTCCAAAAGGCTGAAAATTCCATCTTTATGACCTCAGTGACTTAATACGCCATATCTCTTCTGTGCTTGTTTCCCCCAGATGAGTCACTTTCGGGGTGTTCTGATCTGCTTTACAGCATCTTCAATGACCCAAGTTTTGCTACATTTCACTGTAACTTCATACAGGAGTTTTCCATGAGGCTGGCAGCACACTAGGGTGCTGATTTCAGTGAAGAAGAGAGAGACTGTCATCCCAGTGGCTACTTCTTCATGTGGCCTGTGTTGTCCATTTATTTTGCCCCATTGAAAAGCCTGTTGATACTTCACAAGGAGCACAGGAAGCCTATAACATAACCAAGGAAGGATGGCAGCTGGATGGTGCTGAGGTCTTTATCATTCCAGGGCTTCCTTTGTCTTGGCCTAAAGCTTTCCTCTTGTATCTTTTGTAACTATTTTCCTCACATTGCTCACTAAATTTATGAAGTTTTTTATCTTGTTGTACTAAAAAACAGTAGTTCCTTTTGTTATTGTTCTCATGGGGTATACAGCCTTTTGACGTTGGAACAGGATGTTGTCATGTAGTTAAAAAATACATACATGCATATTGCATATATTTTCATATTTATATATGCAAAAAACTCTCAGCGTTTAAGTAAGTTCATGGTTTGTGTTGGGCTACATATTGCCTGTAGGCCACTTTTGAACACTCCTGGTATTTTTTTAAACCACTTTTTCATATAAATGCCACTGATGCATTTTTTGAGTTTTTCTTGCTACTTTATGGAATAAATACTTTATGGTCTGAGATCCAGGGTAGGAACCAAGTGTGTGTGGTCATTCAGGTGACTGTGTGTGTGTGTGTGTGTGTGTGTGTGTGTGGTCATTCAGGTGACTGTGTGTGTGTGTGTGTGTGTGTGTGTATGTGTGGTCATTCAGGTGACTCTGTGTGTGTGTGTGTATGTGTGTGGTCATTCAGGTGACTCTGTATATGTGTGTGTGTATGGTCATTCAGGTGACTCTGTGTGTGTGTGTGTGTGTGTGTGTGTGTGTGTGTGTGTGTGTCGGTCAGAGGAGAGCTTGGAGGAGTTTGTTCTCGCCTCTCCCTGTGTCTGTGCTGGGGATGAATTCGGGTGCCCGTCTTGGCGTGGTCAGATGTGTTCCTCGGCGCCACCCTGCACCCCCTTCACTGCCTTTGCGGGTTTGGTTTGACTGATGCATTCCTATTAATGAGGTTTTCTCTCATTTTTATTTCAGAGTGTTGGGATTATGTAGGTTTGGCTCTTGGGGAGAAAAGCCTTGTGATGTCATTGGAGCTTCATGCTTGTCTCTGGGGTCATTGCCTGATGGCTTAACTTCCCCCAGAAATAGGTGTATTCCTGGAGACCTGCTTTAACTTTGCAGTCAACTTTGAGAACTCTGTTTCTTTAAGCACTTGCCATTTTGATAAAAATTTAAAATTATTTAGAAGTCTAAAGATAAAATAAGGGAAATTTTCTGTTTTAAAGCTGTGATTGTTGCCATTTAATTGTATGTATTTGTATTTTACCCATTTATTGGACTAGCTGCTATATTTTTAGCTCTGCTTTTGAACCCAGAATTTTAAAAATTAGACCAATTATTTTATGAATCTTTTAAATTCCTGTATTATCCTTTTCAGTTCTCTTTTCCTATTCTACTTTTTCTTCTCCATTTCTTTAGTTTGATCTGTAAAGAATTAGTTTTTTTTTAAGTTTCTAGAATATATATATGTATGTATACACATCTATATCAATTACTGCTTTCTGTACATTGCAGATTTTGGTAAGTAATGTTTTTAAGGCCATTTATTTCTTAGATATTCAATAATATTCTTAATTGAAAGTAGGTCATTAGAATTGTGATTAGGTGGATAACGGGGCAGGTGGGATGACCCTGGGAACGCTGGTCTTCGGGTGTGGAAAGAAGACCCCATCCTGGTGTCCACTTGCCGCTGTGTTTCCTCGCTCACCCAGGGCCCCTGCTGATTGGGTGCTGTGTCTCTGTCAGCTTACTTAAGCATCCACGTGTAAGTTTGAGGTTCATGTCATTTCCCACTTTTGTAAGAGGAAACCGTGACTGAAGGGTTTGTGTAATTTGTCTAACGTGCCTGGTGTTCACATTGGAAGCCAGGTTGGACTTCCTAGGTTGGCTTGTGTTTGAGCAGTGGTACTGTGATGTCATAGAGGCACTGGACAGTGTGGCCGAACTGTAGGCGCTAGCAGCGCAGTGTGACTGGATGAGGTAACACTGGCTTGGCAGATCCAGTGTTGAAGTTAATGGAGAGTGAAACATGAGGCTGATCTGGGCTGTGTGAAGTGACAGCTGACTAATATGCCTGTGGGACATCTAAATGGATCCTTGTGGTAATCAGGTGAGTGACTGGCGTGAGAGGGCCAGGGAGCACTTGATTCTCGAGATGGGAATTTGGTTTTCATTGCTTTGTGGGTCGTAGAAGGTTTAATAATGGCCTTGAAGGTGGTAGAAGGAAGTGGAAGTGTGTGTATCAAAGTCCAGAGAGTGGAATGCGTGTTCATCAGAGGACCAGCAGCACCTTACGTAACAGCTGCAGGAGACTGGCCTGGGTGGGAGTGAGGAAGGTGGAGATGGGCTGCAATCTGCCGAGGAAGTGTGGTTATGAAGCGGAAGGTAGGGTGGTGGTGCCTGTCTGAGAGCCAGGCCCGCCTCTCTCCTCCTCATTTTTCTTCTGTAACCTCTTCTTGCCTATTGCTTTTTTCCCACTTTCTTCCTTCCCATCCTTCACCCTTTCTACCTATTGTCCCCTCTCTTTTCTTTCTTTTCATGTGACACACTTGGATATTCAGTGTTTGAAGAATTTCCCTTAGGACCACATGACATCTTGTCTTCAGTCATGACTGTAGATGTGAACGACAGGGATGGGGCGATACTCCAGCATTAGGGCTGTCTTGGTCAGGGTTTCTGGTGCTGTGATAAAACACCATGACCAAAAGCAACTGGAGGGGGCAAGGGTTTATTTCAGCTCGCAAATCCTCACCACAGTCCACCACTGAGGGAAGTCGGGGCAGGAACCTGGAGGCAGGAGATGATGCAGAGGCCATGGAGGGGGGCTGTTTGCTGGATCATTTTTCATGGCTCACGCAGCCTGCCTTCTTCTGTCACAGAGGACCACAAACAAGAAAGGGCACCACAGGCTTGCCCACAGGCTTGCCCACGGCCATGCCCATGGCCATCCTGGTGGGGTATTTTCTCCATTGAGCTCTTTCTTCCCAGATGACTCCAGCTTGTGTCAGGTTGACAGAAAGCACAAGGGTGGCACTGCTTAGAGTCTGCCTGTTAACACATCGTGTCCAGGACATTTAATATCTGAGATGACAGCCAGTGTGCTAAACGCTTTCAAGCTTGCTTTGTAGTTTTGTCTGCTTTACAGAAGATGTGGAAGGACAGGAGGACAGGCTACTCACTATTGTTCTGTGCTTAGTGTGACTTTGTGATGCCAGGCAGTACTTTTGTTCATGCTTTTCAGAGTTCATAATATGTTATCAATTAAAATTCAGAATGAGAAGCTGGAATGTTTTAACATTTTTAGAGAATTCACTTTAGCCATATGTAGGGAGGATTTGGGAAAAATTCTGAAAAATATATGGCAAGTTCAACCTTTATTAAAGTTCTACTGTTTTGTGTTTGAGTTGAAAAATTGAAATATAATACAAAATTGTGCAGCTAGACATACACACACATAACACATGCATGCACACAGACACGCTCATGCACACAGAGACACACACACCCGCACACACTGATTTAAGTTTAGAAAGAAGTTAATTCTGCAGCTAAATGATTTCCTTTTTTAAAATTAATTTTCTTTTGAGAATTACATGCATGGTTACTATATTTACATCTTCTCCACCCTCTTATCCAGTGTGTAACATACTCTTACAAAGCCACAACATTATTAGATACAATAAAATTTTACATAATTAAGAGTTCCTTAAAATAGCAATCAGAAATCTGTGCATTTGGCTCGTTAGTACTCACTGCCTTCTATGTGTCTTTCTTCAGGGCAACACGCAATTGTGAACCACCTTCAGTTTGTGGTAGGACCCGAGGACAGAGCCACTGATGCCAATGTGGAATAAAGGTCATTGCAGTTAGGCCTGGGGTGTGTGAGTGAGTTGACTGCTGAAGATGACTCCTCAAATTTCAGGGCATATTAGATTCATTTGAATTTTGGAAGCATTTAAAAATAATATAAATATCTGCTTTTTCTTCATTTGTATTTTTTTTTGTACCTGTCAATCAGCTGCTTCCATAACCTTCTAAAGAGAGCCTTAATCACAGTGTAACAGTGGTTTATTATGGATCTAATAGCAAAATTGTTTCCAACATTACTTTTGTGGAAACAATCCAGTAAGTGAAAATTGATTTTAACATGAAAACTTTAAAAAAATTATTACAAAAGAGGAACTTCAGGTTTTTATGGCAGTCTTCCCTCCGTCTCCATTTTCCATAGTGAATGTTTAGCTGTTGAGCTCTGCTAGACTGGAGCTAGGGCCACTGTGTGTGGCAGTGTCTCCCTGCACCTTGCACATTCACAGCACTCCTGGCCATACCAGGCCAGTGCCCCTTTACAAAAGTTCAATCAACTCTCCTGAGTTAGTGGGTGGATGTGCCATGTTGTAGGTTGAATATTTTCTCTGCTGGGAAATGAACATTTCCAGTGGGCTAGGCTAGTGTGTGTGTTAAAGACGTTAAAACATGTTGTTTGCGACTCGTGGAGACATCGTGTGTAACTCAGAAACACTCCTTTGGATTTTAGACATTAGCCATAAAGTCTGGATTTCTCAACTCCACTGCACCTAACTAACTTCTGCACCCTTTCCTACCCGCCTGCGCGTCTCTGTTTGGTCTCTGACACCCCTCTTGTGCTTCTGTCTTCAGTATCCGGAGTGCGTCTCTCACCAGCTTCTCCGGAGCTCATTCTGGACCATGACCACTCATCACCATCCTCTGGCCGCCTCCCTCCAGATGCCATCATTTCAGCACCAGATGATACGCGTGCAGACAGTGGCCTTGTGAGTCAGACCATCCCCAAAGCTCAGGTGAGTGCTGTCGTCATTCAGAAGGAAGCTTGCTTATAGAATCTGCATCTTGACTTAATTAATTCATGTCCTTACTTCTTTTTAAAATAGAATTTTCCGAAAGTTATTTCTGTAGTAGGTAGGATATTCTAATTTTGAAGCCAAGACTAGAATTTTTTTTTTTTAAAAAAAAGCTATATAATACTGTTTTGTGATGTGATTGCAAAAGACTTAAGTACCTTAGTTATAAAAGTTTGCTTTGAGTGTCTCATTTATTAAAATTGACTGAGTACTCGGGCCCATGGCTCCATTTAGGGGGCCCAGAGGACACTGGATTTAAAAAGAAAGCTAGCTGGCAGGACTTGTTCCATAAACATCCACTGAGCTTAAAGGCTAGTACAGAGCCCAGAGCTTCCTGGGTAAATTCCCGAGGAGTTCCTCGATGCTGAGTGTCAGCTCCTTCCTCAAAGCAGTCTTCCGGTCACCATGGTAAGTCCTGCTGGGGCAGGCAAGAGGGTCCAGCGGTTGAGAGTACATAGGGCTCTTGCAGAGGACCTGAGTTTGGTTCAACACTCACATCAAGCAGCTCCAGGGGATGCCACCTCAAACACACACAGACACCCACACACAGATACTCCTACTCCCCCAGGTAAAATTAAATCTTAAAAGAAAGAAATGTACCATTGATTCTCCTGTTGAAAGGTGAGAAACTGAGGCACAGAGGAGCAAATTCCCTACAAGAACATTGCTGACAGGCTGGAGAGATGGCTCAGAGGTTAAAAGCACTGGCTGTTCTTCTGGAGGACCCGGGTTCAATTCCCAGCAACCACATGGTGGCTCAGAACCATCTGTAATGAGATCTGATACCCTCTTCTGGCCTGCAAGCGTACATGGAGACAGAACACTGCATACATAATACATAAATAAATCTTAAAAAAAAAACATTGCTGGCAGGCTGCAGAGACAGAGCTGGGTTTCACTAAGTAAACTGAGGCACACAGGGTAAACTTCCTACAAGAACATTGCTGGCAGGCTGCAGAGACAGAGCTGGGCTTCACAGCTGATTTTTTGCCTACTTTACAATTTAACTGTGTGTGAAATTGCATTGGAAGAACATCCAGCCTGCCTGTACTCAGTTGGTGGCATTTCTGCCACCAAAAAGTTGATGCTTTACTGTAGTAAACAGCTGTGCATGGTTATTTAAATGGACTTACCTTTGCATATGTTATCTTGGACTTAGAGATTAGTAACAAAAAAGAATAATTGTTTTTGCATTTCGAACTTAAATTCAGAGTTAAACTTCAAAAGGGAAATAATTATTAGAATTGTTTTTCTTTTCTTGGAGTATTAACATGTTTTTTAGGTACAAGAGCATCTATTTCAGTTTTAGGGTAAAAGCCTCCAAAGACAGCATCATCATAGCATATTCATTTAAGTATTTGCAGAGCTAGACATCATGCTGGATACTGAAGGCAGGGTTCCAAAACTCAGTTTTAAAATGTCAACTGCAATTTTAAGTAACCTGTTAACTTTGCTAGAAGTTGATAAGGTAGCATCATTAATACATATGAAATTCTGAGTTGAAATTAATTCTAAATGAATCCTAGGTCGGTGTATACATTTCAGAATGGGTGTGTTTCAGATGTGTCTATGCTCAACTGTGCATTTTTGTACATAAAGGTTTTAAGTGTTTTAATGTGTTAGCAGTAATGCAGTAGTGAGTATTGTAGATATAAGAGGACTTTTCTTTATGCTTCAAAGATCAGGCTATTGTAATAGTCTGAAGTCTTCTGTTGATTCACTTAGAGGGGAGATAATTTCATTGCTTTCAATACAACTTAATTCTGAATGTGGTTTAGAATACCCTTTGAACATTTCCTTAAAAGGATGGTCTAACTTTTCTCTGTCTGTTAACACATGGTTTAGATTCAGCAGTCAGCACACACACATCTGAATATACCACTTTTTCCACTTGGCTTAACGGATGAGACAACCCATGGAGCGCTTGCACTGGAGGATGACCCTGAGGGTCCTGGAGCCGACGTGTCCCACTCACAGCTACAGCAAAAAATATCAAGTCTGGAGACTAAACTGAAAGCATCTGAAGAGGAAAAACAGAGAATTAAAAAGGTGTGTGTGTGTACATCTGCATGGGAATGTAGAATTGTATATGCTAGCAGTTTGACATCAAATTTAACCTAAAGTGGGTTAAAATTTCACCAAAGACTGTATTGTCTTCCCTGGGGTGGAGGTTCAGGTCAGTTACATCAGATAGTGGAGGCACTTTATTAGAAGCTGCTAGTCATGGGCTAGAGAGATGGATGGCTCAGTGGTTAGGAACCCTACTGTTCTTGCAAATAGACCCAAGTTTGGTTCTCAGCACCCACATCGTAGCTCACTGTCTGAACTCAAGTTCCATGCCCTCTTCTGGCCTCCAAGGGTTTTCTGTATGCATGTAGTGCACATTCATACATGCAGGCAAACACATACATAAATAAAAAACTAAATAAACCTTGAACAAAAGTCTCTAGTCAGTGGTTGGCACACCCATGCGTTCAGCATCTGATTCAACCATCCATACATGAGGGACACATCTTCTATGTGCTATGGGTGTATGTTTACAGACCTCCAAAATAGCTGAAGATCTTAGTGTATATGGTAGGATATGTGTAGGTTATATGGAAATATCCTGTTGTTTTTTTATAAGGGTCTTGAGCATCCTGAGACTTTGGTGTCAGCAGGGATCCACATGAACTGAAAGGAGGTTGAATGCAGTTCTAAGGCATGCACAGATTTCTCTGGGGCTTTTTGTTATTTCTTGCTCCTCTATGGCTTACGTTTCTGTAGGCAGTGTTATACTTGGTGTGTGGATTTTAGGTTTGCTGTGTTACCTTATCCCTTTGGGAAGTCAGGTACTCCTTGGGTGTTTGAACTCAGATGTTCAGGGAAGGGACTGGTATATGCTCTCAGTTCCTTCTGTCTTTCCATCTGTCTGTCTATCCATCTGCCTGGTTTCTATCATTTATCATCTGTCAGTTATTTATCATCTCTCTACATCCTTCATTCTATCTGTTTCCATCCATTTGTTCACCCATAAGTCTGTCTGTCTGTCTTAGCCAGTTCATCAAAAGTACTTTCAGAGATTGGGTTTTATTCATTGTACTCATTGAGACACTCTTGTTCTTATTTACTCCTTGTTTTGTGTTTGTGGTGGGTGCCTATACATGGTGTATGCATGTAGGACATGCTCATGTGTTCTGTAGAGGCTAGAAGTCAGCTCAGGAAGCCTTCATCCATCACTCTACACCGTGTGTCTCCTGACCTGGAGCTCACCATTTCCACTAAGGTGGCTGGCCACTGGACTCCATGGATACTCTAGTCTTTGTCTCTCTGTTCTGGAGTTGCAGATGTCTGTGGACACCCTTGGCTTTTTATGTGGATATGGGGGTCTGCACTCAGGTCCTTCATGCTTGGACAGACAGCACTTTGCCCTCTAAGCCGCCTCCCCAGCCCCACTCTTAGACATTTATGAATTTTAATGTTATGTCAGTATTTGATATTGGCCTAGAAATTAGTTAACTTTGGTAATTTCCTACATACATAATTCTGAGACTTTAAGCATTTTTTCCTAATTTTCTTCCCTGACAAATATTTTTTGTGTTTACTGAAAAAGTATTTTATGCCATGGAACATTGCAAGCTTGTGTTTGGGTTCCTGGTAGGATGTGGACTCGCTGATGGAGAAGCACAGTGTCCTGGAGAAAGACTTCCTGAAGGAAAAGGAGCAGGATGCTGTGTCCTTTCAAGCCAGATACCATGAGCTTCAGGTGAGCAATTCCTTAAACACACTCTTGTTTCCAGACATGTTCAGTGACGGTTCTGAGCGAGTGAGGGACATGGCGAAGGGAGTGGTCTCCTACATTTAGTCTGGGAGGAACTGGAAAGCGGCATTTTCAGTTGTCACGACTTTTCGGGATGCTGGCATCAGATCTCTGACTCCATGCTGAAGTGCACTAGCTTATAGAAGATGCTTGCAAATAGAGAGTTGGAGAAATTGGGGAAATGGAGTTTGTTTGTTAGGGTAATGCTTTCTACCCTTAGGAAGTCATTGTAGGTAGAAGGGTGTCAAACTGAGGGGCATTTGGACTGGGAAACACCTGTTGTCTCTCTGCTTGCTGCTTAGTTGCTGAGCTTGTTCCAGGTTTTCCTGGGCTGGGTGATCACATTGCCTATAGAGTACGGTGGATGGTCCAACTCACATTTCCTATAGAGTAGGGTGGACAGTAAGTGCTTTCTTATACTCAGATATCTAACATGTGCTTCTTCTGAAAATATTGAGAGTTAAAGAGGAGCCGGTTTATTTTGTTAAGATGGCAAGGGTGGTAGAGTGTTGGCTGGATCTCTAGTGCCCACAACATGAAGTAAACTGTGGGAAATATTCTAAGATGTGCCAAAAGTAGAGTATGCATGTGGATCAAAATCACTTCTCCAAAAGAAATGTCAGGGTGTATAGTTCTAAAACGATACGCTTATTCTGGAAAATATGGGCAATATAGAACAAAGAAAGCAAAACTCTTACTACAAGGAAAATTAGAAATCATTTCTCATGATTTCAGAACATTTGGCTTTTAATTTTCAAGTTTAAGGAAACCTGCCATCCTAAGGTCAGCACGGAATGCATGCTAGCAGAAGTTTTGACTGACCCAAGAAAGAGTAATGAACAAGTGGAATGTGATTAGAACTTTAGCTGACTGTTTAAAATATGAAGTATTGCAGCGTTCTATTGTTTTTGTGATACATGCTCATTACTAGGATAGGTGGGGAAGTGTGAAAACAGCAGGACACGTGGAAATAAGACCGATGTGATAGCCAGGGAACAATGGGGACACCTCCCCTTTCCTGCCCTGTCTAGGGTGTGCAGATGGAGGAGAGGAGGAGAGGGAGACAGTGAGTCAGCTGATCTTGCTGGACTCTGAAGGGGCTTTCCTAGAACCGAGTGGAGTGTGCCTCCCTCTCTCCAGCATGGGTCCCAGGTCTCCCTTCTGTGACCCTGCAGTGGCTCAGCACCTCCACAAGCACCAGGGAGATCTGCTGCCTTCTCAGAAAGCACGGCACGGTGCTGTGTTTAAAATGTTACCAAAGGACTCGGCCAGTTCCTAAGGCTTCATTTCTAGTAGTTGTCAGCTTGGAGCTGTGGCCAACCTGGAGCTCTCAGTGTAAGTCTGGAAAGACCAGGCTTGTTGTGTTTGTTCTCTGTGGTGACTAAGTTTCAAGTGAGTATACCTTCATTATGGCGCTGTCACATCATCAGACTTCATTCTGATTCTTCCCCATTCATTTTTCTACAAAAGTGCTTTATAGTTACAGGAGATTGAATATTTTCTGCTTGAGAATTAAAGCAAAATTAAAAAACACACCCAGAATGTTGTGGGAAAGTGAAGTATTTCAAGGACCTTAGGTTTACGTATATAAATGGGTTTTTATAGCATTAGGTCACCACCCGTGTTCTCTTCCTGACTTCACAGACTTGTCAAGCTTCCTAAGAGTGGGGATTATTCTCACGATTGTCAAACTTGAAATATCCAAGTGTTGAACCCTTGGTCTCTTTGCCTGACTCTGTTATAGTCACATTATCTTGAGGCCTTTGGTTATAAGCGTATATTAAATGGGTGGTTTCATAGCCCTAGACTTTTCATTTGGTAATCTCAGGCGTGGGGAATTAACCAAGTCTGCACAGGAACCTGAAAACAGCATGCTAACTGACTGAAGAATGCTGAAGGAAGTTGCCCTGTGGTGTATCAGCTGACACCTGCTGTACTTGGGTAGTTTTTATGTCGTAGAAGAGGGAACCTTAATTGAGAAAATGCTCCCACCAAACTGTACCCTGGGCAAATCCGTGGTGCGTTTTTTGATTGATGATTGTAGTTTGGTGTAGCATGAATCTTAAAAAGTTCTTATTAATAAGATCAAACCCGGACCAGGTATTGGGGTGAATTCTGGAAGATCAGAGAGACAGAACAAGCCACAGCTAACCTCACCTGGCCAACTTATCAGCTGGTTTTGTTTTCTCAGACTGGAAGCTTCTGTGTCCTCATCCCAATGGCTCTCAGCTGAACTGTGCTGCTCAAAACCTAAAAGCTTAACCAGCCAAAAGCTTAACTAGCCAAATGCTTCTAGTTTCTGGTTCTCACGCCTTATATACCTTTCTGCTTTCTACCACCACTCCCTGGGATTAAAGGCTTCTTCCTGGGATTAAAGGCATGTGTCACCATGGCTTGGCTGTTTCCAATGTGGCCTTGAACTCAGAGATCCAGAGGGATTTCTACCTCTGGAGTGCTAGGATTAAAGGTGTGAGTGCCACCATTTTCTAGCTCTTGTATCTAGTGGCTGTTAAGTTTATTAGGGTGCACAATATTTTGGGGAACACAATACCACCACATTTGGGTCTGATCCATTGTGGGTGGTGCTACCCCTTGGGCTGGTGGTCCTGGGTGATACAAGAACGCAGGCTGAGCGAGCCATGAGGAGCTGGCTAGGAAGTAGCCCTCACCTGTGTGTTGTGCTTCAGCTCCTGCCCTGGGGCTCCTGCCCTGAGGCTCCTTCCTTGGTTTCCTTCAATGATGGACTGTGATGTGGTTGTATAATCAGAAGAAACCTTTTCATCCCCAAGTTGCTTTTGGTCATGGTATTTTATCATGGTAGTGAAGACAGAAATTTGTACCAGAGAGTGGACTATTGCTGTGACAGACCTGACCATATTTGTGAGTGGACTGTGGAAGAACTTTGGTCTGGAGAAGCCATTAAGTGTTCAGAGCCTAATGAACTATTGTGAGAATGTAGAAGATAATGCCGAGAGCAGTGTGGGCAACAGAGGCCTGGCTTGTGAAATTTCAGAGTGAAGTTTGAGGGTCCCTTACAAACTCTACTGGGGTATCCAATGTTTTGAGTTAGGAGCCACTGAAGTGAAACTTGTGCTTTTCTGGGACAGCCAATACTAGTCAGCTAAGGCTGCACTATCAGCTGCAGTCAAGAAGAGAACAGCACTGCTGAGGTCAGTTCTTCCAGGAATGGATTCCTCAGGAACAGCGTACAGAATCTTTGGTCCAGACTGGGCCAAGGCTGTGCTTTGTGCTGTCAGATGAACTTGGTTGTATGTAAGTGTCTCTCAGGTGGTGTTGGTTTTGAAGGCATAAAAGGGAACATGGGGAGAAGGTAAGGCTTTTACCAAATGGCAGGTCAGAGTCTGCAAAACGAGCCCAGGAGGGGCTGTTGGTGAAGGTTCACCACAGCAGCACACACTGGCACTTAGACAGTTCCACAGTTTAAATTGTTAAAGAGGGAAGTATTCCGTAAGAAAAAATTAATGCTCCAGTTTGAACCTGCCTTACACAGAGGTCTCTAAGTTCTCAAGATGATGTCTCTGACAAAAATACATTCCTGCTGTATATTCATATAGTCTTAAAAGTTCTCAGTCATTTAAATTACGGTTCACTCAGTGCTGGATGCAGAAGCTTCCTGGCCCTATAACCCAGGACCTCTTGAGATTGATGTTTCTGTAAAGACTTGTGCACAAACATATCTAAATGACAGAGTTGTAGTCATTGATGGGCTGGAGCTTTGTTTTATAAGATGAAATAACTTTTTGAGCAGCACAGTTCAGCTGAGAGCTATTCGGATGTGAGGACACAGAGGCTTCCAGTCTGAGGAAACAGGATCAGCTGAGAAGTTGGCCAGGTGAGGTAGCTGTGGCTTGTTCTGTCTCTCCGATCTTCCAGTGTTCACCCCAATAACTGGCCTCAGGTTTGATTTTATTAATAAGCCTCTCTAAGATTCCTGCTACACAGTGGGCCTCATGATGTATGATTGGATGTTGCCAGCCACTGCGCCGGCCCCGGGGATGTCTGTGTGCCCCTCTGTCACCACTGTGCGGTGTGCACGGAGAAGTACCAGGTGTGCAGGGTGTTCTCAGTAGTTGTGTTCTGTAATTTGGGAAGTGCTCATAATAGATTGTTTTTTATTGTGTCTAACGCCATTGCCACAAGAGGAAAACAACGACTTGTAATGTGGCTAAGCCTTGCTTTTACCCAGTGGCAAAGGAACCTGTTATTTTTGAAAACACCAGTTTACAGTCCCTAGGGAGGCTTTTGCTCTGTTTCTCTACTTATCTGAGGTTAGACCCTGACCTCAGCCATTCTAGAGCAAAGCCACAGACCTCAGTAGTGGATGTGGAGACGAGTTTGGGGCAAATTCTCATAAAATCTATATAGTTTATCTAGTGGCTACACCACAGAGACTTTTCTCCTCAATTACAGAGTTTCCTATAGAACACAGAGGAAGAGATGAGTCTGTGTCCATTGTCAGAATATGGCAAGAAGCTTAGATATCTGAGAAAACTTTGAGAAGGGGTAGATATTTCCCAGTGCTGTGTTTACATTATGATCATTTGAAGGATTTTAAATTTCAGACTTTTTTTCAGTTGAAAGCATGGAATGTGGAAAAAGGTGAAGGATATTTGCTGTGTCCTTACTTGGTTTGAGGTGCTCTGCCCTCTAAATGTTCGCTGTTGAGAAGGCATGCCTTAGCATGTCTGTCTGAGGAACAAGGGCATTGTGGGAATGAAGAGCCACTGTTAGAGGGTGATTATTTAGGTCATACTAGTTTTTGAAGTTACTTCATGAGACAGCATTTTTCCAACCTCTGGCTAAGGTTGGTGATGACTCTACCCTATTTCTGTTACTTTCTTGAAAACTTAGACTCTTGTTGCTGGATTCCTTGTTTCACTGCTTCCTGTCTGTAGGGAATGGAGGAAGCCCCGAGTGAGTGAAGT